AAAAAGAATAGAAAATAATAATAGCATTTAAATTTTTGCACGTTTTCGCATTTGAAATATTTATGAAAAGAAAATTGATTTTGTTTTCGTTGTGACGTTCCATTTTTTCGTTGCTACGCTTCTACGCGTTCTTCGTTGTGTTGTGCTATGTTTGGAAAATGCGATATTATTTAAAATTGCCGTTATAAAAATAAAATTGTATGGGTATTTGTATTTAAGCTTAAAAATTGATTAGAAATTGAATTAAATGTTGAATATAAGGTAATTGGAATGAGAGCGGAATTAATTTAAATTGGAATGGATGAGTAAGACAATATTCAATAATTTTGTATTCAAACAAAAATTCAGCCTCAGCCCATTGGCTACAGAGGGCATATATCATTTGATACGGCCAAAACGTGATTTACAGAAATAGCAGGTCTAGCTCTTTTAACACCGAATCCGTTTCACAACATTTGAAGTCGATGTAGGGCTTTCCGTCCGTCCGTCCATCTGGCTTGACGGACTCTCGAAGGGAGTATCCTATTTGGACCAAACTTGGTATATTGTTATATTATTGTCAAATTTAGATCGTACCTCCCACACAAAAAGTGAAAATTTTCAAAAAAAAAAAAAAAAAGATTAACTAATATAACAAAAATGGTCATCCAATTTTGTTAAAACTTTACAAAGCCCAATATTTGTATTTGTGCTAAGTCAGGTGCGAAAATGGGTTATCTCGACTCATTTTATCAAATTCCTCCCCCACAAAGGGCCAAAATTTAGGATAATTATAACTCTCATAAAATGGGAATAACCACACAGTTCTCTTCAAATGTCACACATCCCAATATTTTAAGTAACAAAAAATCTGGTGTGAAGATGGGATATATCGGTCCACTGTTTCCGGTACATCCCCAACAAGGAGTCCAGTGGGAGTGAATAATTATATCTTTCATAAAAAGCCAATTAAGCATCTATTTCATTTAAAACTTCACACATCCCACAAAATTTGTTATGAAGGTAGTAGAAATCGGCTAACTCCTTTTACTACCTCCCCCCACAGAGGGGTCGAAATTTGGAGTTGAACCAAGGAGTGAAGCCCATTCCGAATATTAAATTTCTCCCTATACTTCTTCGCATTTAGCACTTGTGGCATAATTTTAAGGTCCAGAAAGGACGATTTTTTAAAATAAATTTCACATAACCTCTCAATTTTGTGAGATGAAATTTCATATCAGAGTTTAAGGAAAATGGGTACACTATTTAGTACTTCAAAGTTCCACCTTTGTTTTTGTTCAATGCCAATTTTGTACTTATATGAACTTTTCGTAGCTTTAAAGTACTAATTTCCGAAAAAAATCCCACAAAATAGTACTTCAGTATAATGCCTATGCAAAATTTCAGAACCAGTTTCTACTGAAATCCCAATATCAATTTTGTGTCATTTTATGTTTTCTACTACTTTTATGTTTTCTAGTAGTACGATCTTTACAAAATGCCGTCCTATATTAGATAGAGTGACTAATATCTTAAATTTAAAGGCAGTAGATTCGGCCAAATAACAGCATTGTATAACATTGTACCTTTTAGTACTTTTTTCCCTTATTGTACGAATCAGACTCTTACCAGCTGCTCAATGACTTTTTTGTGCCAGAAATGTTCAAGTTAGTAGAAATTTTCAAGAGCCCCAAATTATCTCACTGAAAGGTATCCCCATGAAAAATGTATTGCTTGCTTGGTGAATAACATGGTTTTCGTAGGACTAAAATACTAATTGCCATCCATACAAAATTTTAGAGAAATATGTTGTGTTATTTTGTACCTTTTTGTACTTTTGATCTTTTTTGTAAGAAGTTTAAAAACTTCCACATACATAACCCAAACATAGCAAATTTAACAGTTTTGATTTTGACTTTTTTTTGTACTATTTTGAATTCTTTGTAACTTGTAGTAGGAATTTACAAAAAAAAAATAAATAAATAAAATAAATAATCTACTCAATCTCACTTAGGAGTAAAGTCCTTGCGCATAACGAATATTTGAAAATTTTCTTGTACTATTTAGTACACTTAAACGATTTTCGTACCCTTAAAGTTAGAATTTCCAAAAATCCCGCCAAATCTTTTCAAGGAGTCTCCTTATTCTATATTTCGAAATACCAGCGCTTACTGATAGCCTTATTACAACGTTGTACCGTTAGGAACCTCCTAGTGCTTTTCGCCCAATAACGATATTGTATTCTTTTGTACATTTCCTTTTTCTACCCTTTGAGTAGGAATTCTCAAAAATCCCGCCCTTTTAAGGTTCCCATATAACATTTCGGAGTTGTTTAACGTACCTTTCAGTACTTTTTGTAGTCATCGGCATAAGTACTATTCTAACCTCATAGAAAAATTTTGCTATGTGTGTCCTCAAAATGTTTTTTTTTTAACTTTTTTAAAATTTTTGGTGCTTTTTGTACCCTTCAATTTGTGAACGTTAAAAGCCTTATTTTAATCAAAAATTACTCTATCTCTAAATTTCAAAAATCTATCTCTTTAGGGCTTCAATTATAAAACTTATACAATGTTTACAGAGTAACTAACCATGCCATTTTCAATTTTTTTCAATTCTTTTGCCATTTTCATTTCAAAATCTATAAGACAACGTCGATTTGTTAACAACTGAATTCCAAAGCAGAAAACCAATTGTCTGTCTGTCAGGGCATGCCACAACTGCGATATGGAAAATGGGACTTTCAATTGCAACACAATCATTTATTCGTTTTTTCCCCAATTTTCCTTTCAAACATTTCATTTAAAAATCAATATAAATTTTCCCACACATCACATCTGATCGAAGTCAAGAAAAAAGAAACGCATGAAATAAAATTGAAAGACGAAGAACGCAGAAAAAAACGAACTTAAAAAAGCTGTTGCAATTTTTCAAGTTAAACAAACAACAAACGTTTCTATAATTTTTACTCCATGAACTGTAAGTGCATATGTGTTAGTTTAAGTGTGTGTGTGCGAGAGTGTTACACTTGACCAAGTGTTCGTTTGGATGTCACTATGTGTGCGAGACCACCATGCCATGCCGTATATGCGTAACGGTGTGTAGCAACGTGTCTTCAATAGATGTGTAAATAATGGTGTATGTGTGAATAAACTTGAACCGGAAACTGTTTGACATGTTCACCATTTAACGTTGCCTTCCTTGTGGGGTCATTCGTATATTCGATCGATAGGTTGTTTTTATACCCTACACCACATAGTGGTAAGGTTATTATGTCTTTGTGCATTTGTTTGTAACATGGAGAAGGAAACGAGATAGACCCATAGTTACTTTTGAGAACCTTCATAGAATCACTTTCTGAGTCGATTTATGCATGTCAGTCCGTCTGTCCATGTATTCTTGTGAACAAAATGCAGGTCGCATTTATTATCCGATTGAGATGAAATTTTCCAAACAATATTTTTTTGGTCCAAGGACGAACCCTATTGAAATTGGTGAGAATCGGATCAAATTTAGATATAGCTCCCATATATATCTTCATCCGATTTCGGGTTAAATGTGCACCAAATATCCACTATCAGTCCAAATTACCTGAATTTTGGCACACCCAACCGAGTACGGCCTACAAGCAAGTATATCAAATTTGGAGAAAATCGGTTCAGATATAGCTATAGCTCCCATATATATCTTTCATCCGATTTGATCTTTAAGTCCCTCACATTCCTACTATGCACTCCACAACCGTGATATTTGGTACCAAGTATTAGATGGAGCACATAAATAGCTGTTTGAAATTTTATCGAAATCGGTTCAGATTTGGATATAGCTCCCATATATATCTTCATCCGATTTCGGGTTAATTGACCACCAAATGGCCAATATCAGCCCAAATGGCCCGAATTTTGGCACATGTAACCGAGATTAGCATTAAAGCTAATACAACAAATTTGGAGAAAATCGGATCAGAAACAGCTATAGCTCCCATATATATCTTCATCCGATTTCGGGTTAAATGTGCACCAAATGTCCACTATCAGTCCAAATTACCTGAATTTTGGCAAACCCAACCGAGTTCGGCCTAGAAGCAAGTGTATCAAATTTGGAGAAAATCGGTTCAGATATAGCTATAGCTCCCATATATATCTTTCATCCGATTTGGTGTTTAAGCCTCTCAGATTCGTAATATGCACTCCACAAGAATGATATTTGGTACCAGATATAAGATACAGCCCAGAAATAGCTGTTTGTAATTTTATCGAAATCGGTTCAGATTTGGATATAGCTCCCATATATATCTTCATCCGATTTCGGGTTAATTGTGCACCAAATGGCCGATATAAGTCCAAATGGACTGAATTTTAGTACATCGGACCAAATTCAGCCTAGAAGCAAGTATATCAAATTTAGTGAAAATCGGTTCAGATATAGATATAGCAACCATATATATGTTTCATCCGATTTAGAGTTTTAGTCCCATACATTCGTAATATTCACTTCACAACCGTGATATTTGGTACCAGGTATTAGATGGAGCACAGGAATAGCTGTTTTAAATTTTATCGAAATCGGTTCAGATTTGGATATAGCTCTCATATATATCTTCATCCGATTTCGGGTTAAATGTGCACTAAATGGTAAATATCAGACCAAATCACCAGTCTAGAAGCTAATACGTAAAATTTGGATAAACCCGGTTCGGAGATAGCTATAGTTCGTAAAATGTACGATAGAATTAGATAGATTTTGATTTTGTACCAAATATCTCATAGAGCTCTGAAATGCCCTGTATAAACCTTTTTAATGCCCTGTATAAACCTTGGTATAGTATAACAATTGTGCAAGGACATGTGAAGAAAACTTAAAGAGAGGAAATGAAATAAAAATGAATTGTTATTCAGGGAAAATAAAATATTTATATATTTTCTTAAATAAATTTAAAGACTATAACTATATAATTTTTATTGAAAAAAAAATATTACTGCTTTTTTTCTTTCGATTTTAATATTTTTATTTCTTTCTTCCAGCGTGATGTCCTTATATTGGAACCCTCGGGTTCAGACATACTTAGCTGTGTGTCCAAGGGGAAACAAGAGGTAAGTTTATGTTTATTTTCAAGTACCCCATTTGTTCTTAGCCCCCCACACCAAAAGGGAGACAATAAAGAAATAAAAATATCTTCAAAAATATATTTTTGGCTATTTTATAAAAAAAAATGATTTTGAAATAAAATTTTCAAAATTCCCCAAAATTTTGAATCAAACTAATGGATGCGTCTTCTTTTTCTCTCTCTTTATTCCCAAATGTGCGCACATTTTTCTTGATTTTTTTTTTTTTTTCATTTGACTTAATTTTTGGAAACATTTTATTATTTATTTTTTTATATCCTTTGGTCTCCTATCCGCTTCCCCATCTCATTTCTCTAAAAAATTGTTTTGAAATTTTCAATTTGTGTTTTTTTATTTATTTATTTATTTATTTTTTTTTTTTGTCAATAACTTACATTTCTATGTATCTTTTTGTTACTTGTTTCCGTTTTTCTTTTTCTCCTCTTTATGCTTTTTTGCTCGGTGTGTTTACTTTACGCGTACGTGCCTACTGAATTGCTCTGAAGAAGGTGGAATGCCGTAATCACATACGCGTTATACAACCCATGGACTCGGGGACACGTCTATATGTTTGCGGCACAAACGCCCACAATCCCAAAGACTACGTGATAAATGTAAGTATATATATTTGAAATATAGCAAAAACAACTACCAAAGACACTGGGGTAGTTGTTGTAGTAGTAAACTAAAACAGCAACCTACAACAAAATTATATTCCGGGATACCTAACTCACTGCGTTTGGCATTAAGTGTACGAGGAGGAATAGTGGTGGTGGTATTAGTGAACCAAAACACACACATACACACAACTAAATATATACTTGTAAAACTGTCCAAGCGACCATCATATCCTACCTCTCGGACAATCCAGGCATTTCGCTAAAGTGTATGTATTTAGGAAAAATAACACCAGAAAATAAAGTTCAACATTTACTACCCGGTTTAGGCATTTTCAGAGACAGAGCACCAACGACAACAACAACAACAAAAATAAATGCGAGTGTCTGGCATTTTATTTTCCAGATCTTTAAGTTGAGTACTTTTTGAGTATGCCCGGCATAAAATGGGATTATTTTCTGAGGTAAACAAACATTTTTCAAACGATTAGTCGGGTATGCCACAGCAAAGCTGGAATAGAGAAAAAAAACCTACACCGAAATGGCAAATCTCTGTAATTTAGGGGTCAGCTGCTTGTTAGTGTTTCATAGAAAAATATTCAACAAATTTTATTAAGGTTAGTACTACTCATTAGTCTAGCTTGCGTATTTTACCGTTCTTAAAAGCATTCTCATGTTTGGGTATTTTTTTGCCAAATGAAGGCAGATAGAAGAACAAAAAAATATGATAATTGAAGTGTTTTTTTCGATATGACCTTCTAATTCGCCCTGATATATATGTTTTGTCAGCTACAACATAAACGAGAATACGGAGTCGAAATTCTAATCGGATTACTGCGTAAATTGTTAAAAAAGCTAGACAGAATTTGACAGCATTAACTTGGCGTACCAAAATGATCAATCATAATTTACAAGATTTTCTTCAAGGACAGAAAAAAGCAGAAGTGTGTCTCTTGAATTCCAATGATATGTCAGCCTTACTTGACATATGTGATATCTATTTTGACAGAAACTGTAATTCAGACTTGTATTTCTGTGCTTTTTAAAAGGATAGAAAAAATATTGATAATATGAACTTCTATGCATTCCATTCATGGGATGACAAAAGGTTACATTTTCAAAATTATGATTATTTTGATTTTCATCAATAAAAAAAACCATCAGAATCATTCTGAAAAAATAAGAAATTGACACTTATTAAAAGTTCTTTCGAATAATTCTTGGGGACATATTCCCAGAATATAATTGTACGAAAAATACTAAATGGTACTAAATTTGGTATTGGGTGAAGGGATAGGACTGGCATCTTTAAAATTGATATTGAGGTCCCTGTTAGTATATGGAATTTAGATATGGATATAATATTGGAAATGTGTACTAAAATTCAAAAAAAGGACTAAATAGTAACAAATTTGGTATTGGGTTAATGATGTGATTGAGAGAAGATGCTGGTTTAGGATATGGGTAATATATTTATACTAATGGTACTAAATTTGGTATTCGGTGAAAGGATAGGACTGGAATCCTCACATTTCATATTGAGGTCTCAGTTGGTATATGGAATTGAAATATCAAAGTGGTTTCGGAAATGTGTACCCTAATTATACAAGATGTACTAAATTTGGCATTGGGTGAAGGGATAAAGCTGGAATTCCCAAATTTGGTATTGAGGTTTCTCTAGGTATCTGAAATTAAGATATGGATGTGGATGTACTAAATAGTACTAAATTTGATATGGGGTAAATTAAAGAGCTGCAATCCTGAAATTTGATATTAGGGTCACTGTTTTTATTTGAAGTTAAGATATGGAGATTGTTTTTAAAGTGCGTATTACAATTGTTCGAAATGGTAATAAATTGAGTAAAGGAATCAGGATCAGGAAACGCAAATTTTGATATTAAGGTCTTTGTGTATATCTGGTGGTGGTGTTGGAAATGTTGACAATAATAGTTCGAAAGGTACTAGATGGTACTAATTTTGGATCACTGTTGGTTTTTAGTATGGGGAGATGTAGACCGTTTTGGATATCCGTACTTAATATTACTAAATTTGGTATTTGGTGAAGAATGGAGCTGAAAGTGAAAAAAAAATGATAATGAGTTCATTGTTGGTTTCTAGGATTTACATATTGAGACGTTGAAATAGTCGGACTTTTTTTTTAAATAGTCAGAAGTAAATATATTAACTTCTAGCCGAATCTCGGATGGGGTTAATTTTACGTGTTTTTGGTAGAAACCCTCTCTGCAAAAACGTCGATTTTTTATAGCAGGATATAAATAATGGTAAGTTTTAATTTTTTGCGGTACATTATTTGAAAAAAAAATTACAAAAAACACTCTATAATATGATACATCGATATATTGGAAATTGAAGATATTTATATTTTAGATAACCGAACTTGTTGCAATTTCTCATATATGCGGTGGATTGAAATTCACTGTGAGAAACTTTTCAATATATTTGGGAAGAGTTTAAAAATTCTCTTCCTTAATAGCTCGGCTGACATATCCTATTATGTTTTAAATCCCTAGCCACATGTGACAGCACTTTAACGAATAAAATAGTTATGCTAAGATTGGATTTCGAAGAGAAATTAAAATATTGGTGGCGCAAGGCCCTTCCGTAAACACAACCTTTATTTTCCCACATCACAATGACAGCTTCTTTCCACTCGCTTAATAATTGTGTAATTAATTACTTTTATTTATTTTTCCCTTATCGCCAAAACTTATTGCGAAAATGTTCTAAAGAGCTAGTAAAGTTATAATTGTCGATTTTTAGATACGAAGGCTATTATCGTTATATTTTAAGAATCCTTTTCGAGGAAATGTCGGGATATACTTTTAAAGACTGTCGTGGGCATATTCATGGATATACAAAAACCAGTAAAGAAAGTCCTAAAGTCAGGCGGGGCCGACTTTGTGATACCCTACACTACTTTGCAAATTTAGTAGAGCTCCACAGTACAATTAAAAGTTTTTATGGGAGAATTTAATCATACACGCTACGATTATAATTATTATTTATATTATTTAAATTCGGACTTGTATTGCCCATTTGGTGCAAAATTAATTTGAAACCAAATAAAAATATATATGGGAGCTATATCCAAATCTGACCCGATCTCGATAAAATTTTGTAAAGATATTTCTGAGCTGTATTTGATATATTTCCCTGAATATCGTTGATACGGATTGCATATTACGTCTGTGGGTAACAAAGCGGATGAACAATATATATGGGATCTATAGCTATATCTGAACCAATCTTCACCAAATTTGACATACTAGCTTCTAAAATAATCCCATTTGGGCAAATATTAGACGTTTGATGTACAATAAAATGTAAATCGGACGAAGTTTTATATCGGATCTATATCCAAATCTGAACCGATCTTGATAAAATTTAGCAAAGGTATTTCTGAGCTGCATTTGATATATTTTCCCAAATATAATAATCTGTTTTCGTGATTTTCAAAGAACATTTTTGTGGTCATATCTGCGCTACGATCGAAAACGTTAACTAAATATTTTTGAAGGACTGTCGGAACTATTGTCCTTCTTCTAAAAATAGAGAGATATTATTTCTAGAAGTGTAAAATTCTGAATTTTAAATTTTACCAATTTTTTCCATTCCTTAACTTTAAAAATAACAATTTTTGTTAAGAATTTCTACTATCTATTGTCACCAAATGTCCTTGGTCATGGCAACTTATTTCACCATGGAAAAGTTAATAAAACCGATAAGGCGATTTCTTTCAGTTTACTTTAAAACGTCTTCGTTTAAAATGTCTTTATATAATAAACTAGGTATGTATTTACGATGTGTGTGTTTGTGTGTTTTTCTACCACTGTAATGGAGCAAGTCCTCTTGTCCACACTACAAATAGAAAATGCCAAGGTTAGGTTATCCCTAAGACATAATTTTCTATACTCTTAACAACTAATGTGATTATTGTCTATTCGTTTTTTTTTCGTTGTTTTATTTTCTCTTTGGCAAATTCCTTGAAATTTTTTGTTGACTTTTTTTCTTCTTCTCTTCCCATTCTCTTCGTTTTTTTTCTTTCCTGTGAAATGCCTGCCTTTTTGTAATTGTCTTGACTGCGTGACCCAACAACGTTAAAGGCAAACTTAACACATTTACCCAGATCCGAGTACGTGCCCGGCATTGGCTTAGGCATTGGCAAATGTCCTTACGATCCGGCTGATAATTCGACAGCAGTTTATGTGGAGAAGGGTAATCCGTTCGGTTTACCAGCATTGGTAAGTAAATTTGTTGTATTTTTCCCATCTTCTTGTTCCTTGTAATTTGTATGTTAAAATGCAGTAAGGCCAGCCAGCAAACAAATAATAACAACTTTTTACAAGAAATAACAAAAATCCAGTGGTTCAGAAGTTCCGGTACGAGCGTAGCAGAGAAAAAAATTGCTTAAAATTCTTTAAACGAAAAAAGATAAAAAAAATAAGTTGTCAAAGAAATAATTGGGTCTATGTGGGATAGGAGAGCAAAGGAAAAAAATTAACAAATTTGCTGAATTAAATTAAGTTGGAAGAGGTCATATTTTTTGGATTCTATTTAAGGCATCTTAAAGCTTAGCTAGGAGAATTTGCAATTGGCTTGGAACAATAATATTTTTACTTTTAAATAATTTTAAACAGGTTTTATATGCTTAGAAACAGAACAAAAAATAGCAGATCTCTAAGGCTCAAAAAGGGAAAAAATTTAATTTGTAAAAAATGAGCGACACACAGGTCACGAATAGTGGAATTTTTAACCTACTGGATAAGCTTTTTAAATTAATGTCCTAATATTTTTCATATTAAGTAATAATTTAATGAAATTTTGAATATCCTTCTTCCTCCAGTATTCCGGTACCAATGCTGAGTTTACCAAAGCCGATTCAGTTATTTTTCGTTCTGACCTATACAACATGACCTCCGGCCACAAGGCGCATAACTTCAAAAGGACAGTTAAATATGACTCCAAATGGCTGGACAGTAAGTATTTGCAGTTCCTCCCTTTTAACTCCACATCTATCTCAGCTGACATTTTAAACAACAATTAATAACGTTCATCCTTCTTTATCCCCCCTCTCTCCCCTTCATCTTTTCAGAACCCAACTTTGTTGGCTCCTTTGATATTGGCGAATACGTGTACTTTTTCTTCCGCGAACACGCTGTCGAATACATCAATTGTGGCAAGGCGATTTATTCACGTATCGCCCGTGTCTGTAAGAATGATCGCGGCGGCAAATATATGACCGGCCAGAATTGGGCCACATATCTGAAGGCGCGCATCAATTGCAGTATATCCAGTGAATTTCCATTCTATTTCAATGAAATCCAATCGGTGTACAAAATGCCACATGACGATACGAAATTTTATGCAACATTTACAACAAACACCCATGGCATTGTCGGTTCGGCGGTGTGCAGTTACGATATACGCGACATAAATGCGGCATTTGATGGTAAGTTAGGTGGAACAAATGTTATGAAATAAAAAATATGTATGTATGTGTGGATGTGAAAAGCAAAATAGCACCCGAAATTTCTTGAGGATATGAAGCAAAAATACATATATACCGGAGAGAAAGAAAAAATCGTTAAAATATATAAATGTGTATATGTTTATATTAATATATGTGAATACTTATACTTAGTGTATATGTGTAAGTATGCAATAATATAGGGTCAACAAAAAGGCGTGTGTCAACTAAATTTTAAGACTACCTATTGACATTTTTGAGAACTAAAATTTTGAATTGAATTTTTAAAAATAAATAACTTTCGAGTGCAATGCGGGTCTTCAAAGTTTTCCCTTCGAGAATTTTCCTGTCCATAACACTGTGCAACACAAAAATAAGTCTGGGGAAAACCAGCAGATTTTAAAAGATCACATCGTAAATTAACCAAAATAGAGGGGGAATTTCCACATTTTTGGAATTTTCGTCTGTAGATAAATTGGGTAATTTTTTTTAAATATGTTTAAATCCTCCCTTTAAACGGATCGTAGCAAGTCGAAATGTTTTACAAAATTGTTTTTTTTTTTTTTTTTAAGTTCTACTAAAGTTCCCAGAAGACATCAAAAGTCTATATCTTATTTGAACGCCAGGAATAATGATATATAGGGGAGACATATTAGGGTTGACGACGTACTTTGTGTGTTTTGCAGATAAAATATAAGAAATCTTTTGGGGTCATTTGGTCCTTTTTTTATAATATGATTAAAAACTCGAAGAATGTCAATATATTCCGTTTCCAAATTAAATTATTTTTAGTAAAATCCTACACCACCTACTCCTAACACCATGAATAAAAAGATATAGTAAGAAGACATTTTATGAATAAAGCCGTCCTTTGTGTGATTTTCTGCGAAATTGCCCAACAAAGCCGCTTTTCAAAAGGATGGCATAAAGGACACAAATATTCTAGTAAAATTTTACTATAAGTCACCAAAATAAAAATAAAGATTTTACACCCTAGGTCTCTTTGGACCAAATCCGTGTCAGGACATTTGGAGTCGAACTAGCGATGTCCGTCCGTCCGTCTGGCTGGCTGGTGCGCACAATAACTCTCGAAGGGAGTACCCAATTTGATGCAAACATCATAATATAATTGTCAAACTTAGATGGAGTTCGAGATCGGTCCTCTCGTCCTGGTACCTCCCCCACAAAATGTCAATATTTCCAAAGAAAATTATTTACTGCACAGAAAGAGAAAGGATAATCCGATTTTGCTCCCTCTTTGGAAATCCTAATATTTGTATCAGTGCTAAGTCAGGTGCGATAATGGACAATTTCGGTCCACTCCACCAAGTACCTCCCCCACAAAGATTCAAACTTTTTGATAATTATAACTTTTATAAAATATTATGTCTTAAAATTACATACATACCACAACACTTTTATAAGCCTGGTGTGAAGATGGAATACATTGGTCCACTTCTTCTGGTACCTCTCCAACAAAGGGTCAATATTTTGAATTTCCATGAAGCTCATAAAATACGAAATTGATATCCAATTCCATTCACATTTGACACATCTCAATATTTCCATCAACACAAGATCTGTTATAAAGGTAGTAGAGATCGGACCATTCCTTCTGGTACCTCCTCCACAAAGGGTCAGCGTTTTTAATAAAAAAAACGATCATAAAATCCGAAATAAGCAATCGGTTCGCTGCAAATTATACACATCACAATATTTTTAATAACCCAAGGTCTGGTGTGAAGATGGGATGTATCGGCCCACTCCCTCTGGTAACTGCCCCACAAATGGTAAAAATTATGGGGTAACCATGAAACTCATAAAAGAAGAAATTAACATCCGATTCCATTCAGATTTGGTACATCACAATTTTCCATCAACAAAAGATCCGTTATAAGATGCCAGAGATCGGACCATTCCATCTGGTACCTCTCCCACAAAGTGAGCAAGCATTTGAAAAATAAAAAGCTCAAAGAAACCGAAATAAGCATCCAATTCTCTTCAAATTTCACACATTTTGCTAACGCAGGATCTGTTGTGATGATGAAATATATCTGCTAGCCCATTCTGGTATCTCACTCACAAAGGGTAACAATTTTCAAAACTTTAATCTGTCATAACTTGCAAAACAAGTCGCCGATTCTTTACAACTTGCTATATCTAAATATTTCCCTCAACCAGAAATCTGATATGAATATGTAATATATCGACATTTATGATTTCTCATAAAATGTGATATAAATGTTCGATATCATACGTTGTTAGATCAAACCCACAAAGGAGTTCTGGATTCTTAGACCAAGTGTTGTTATGTTCCTTATATATTTTTTTATCACATAGGGGTCCCTATAGTTTGAGATACATTTCGCAAAATTTAGGATAGAGCTCTAAAATTTAATAGAACGCTTCGGATTACATCCAAAACCAGTGGACCAGAAAATGGTCCAGTGTTTGGAATAGCCCTGGTTAGTATAACTCCGATTTAAGTAATTTTTACGTTTTGGCCATGATATTCAGTTAATTGAAATTAATTAATAATTTAATTAAATTTAATTTAATTTGCACAAATTTTTGGCATCTTATAATGTAGACGATATTTACCAAAAATTATCAACATAGTTTCTCCTTTTTGTACAGCAGTTATATAATGGTACCACCTGATTTTAGTTATTGAAAAATTCATGGTAATATTTTCCAATCGGAATGTCAAATTTAATATAAAACCCTATCTTAAGGCGGAGGATATTACAAATATTGTACTCTAATATCATTTCCCTTTTGCGCTCAGCAACAGTGTACCGGAAAACTAAAGAGAATTCCTAGGAAATTCACACTAAATGTTTGTTAAGCAAACACGCATACAGACACACACTACACACACTCCAACTCCATTTCGCATAAGAATGTGTGTCATTGTATATGTATGTATGCTGCTGTTTTAATTCGCCGTAAGTGTTCTTTGCCACAGGATGTTGGCTCATGTATACGTTGTATTTTTCTTGCTCTTCTTTGGTTTCTCTTTTCTCCCCTCTCACCACTATCGTGTGTATGTATTTTGCGACGATTTATTGCACCTGCTATAAATTCTTAAAAAGTGAAGTTTTTATTTTCATGGTGTTTGCACAAAAAATACTTTTTCTTGGTGGTAGTGTGTGTGTGTGTGAGTGAGTGTATAAATGTGCTGGTACACTTTTGTATTGGTGCTTAAAATCATACTCTTAAAGCATAACTAAGCGTTTTTTTTTTTGCAGTGCATACATATATATTTGCCTGTAAATGGTATTAAGCATAACTAAGCGTTTTTTTGCAGTGCATACATACATATTTGCCTGTAAATGGTATTAAGAAAAATTGTGATATAATTTTTTTTTCACTTCTCTATCTTATATTTTTATACCTAGTTTTTCTCACATTAATTTTCATTTAGAACAAAAGCACAGAGAAAAAAATGGAAATGGTGGCAATAATTTAAATTTTTATTTGCAACAATTTAAATGTTTTATTGAAGTATTAAAAATATAAAAATATGTATCAAAATATAAATAAATATATATAAAGTTGACGATTTGATGATTATAAGAAATTCTGTTGGGGAAATCAGTTACAAAGTGAATATTTTGGGGGGAATTGAGAAAAATTTTTTTTATATTCTTTGAACAGACTGAAATTTGTTTAAATTTCAACTACAGTTCTGAGGAATATTTTATTTCTGCTCACTTCAAGATTTCATTTAAATAAAAAAATGAAAACGCAAAACATATTCTTAAAAAAATACTTTTTATGATTTTTCCCATTTATCCCATGCTTGTTTTGAATAAATCGCAATATGTCTTTCTTGTTATGTTATTGTTGTTTATTTCCTTGTTTTCTTTTATAAACCTCTCACGATTTGCAACAAATGCGAATGAACTTCCTTTTGGCCAACAACCAAAAAACAAAAAAATGCAGGTCGCCCAACGACGTTAACAATGTAAACGAAAATTGCAGATTTCTGCAATTTTGTTGTTGTTGCTGAGAGTGCAGCCTGTTAAAAGTCAAGCAAACAACACGTTTTATGTTAAAAACACGTGACATTTACACATGTTTCGAAAAGGAGGAAGTCTCTCTCTCTCTTTGTGTGTAAGCAAAATTATAAATAGTAAATAAAACGAAGGAAGAAAATAACAAAATAATGCACACAACACAAAGAAAGATGGACATAAAAGTGGGTAGAAATTTTCCCAGGATTTTGTGGAATTACATCCTTACAGAGGGTATATATCATTTGATACGGCCAAAACGCGCCTCATCGAAATAACGATTTTAGACTCTAGGTATCTTTAGGCCAAATCCGTTTCAGGATATTTGGAGTCGATAGCGATGTCCGTCCGTCCGTCCGTCTGTCTTGCTGGTGCACACGATAACTCTCAAAGGGAGTATCCGATGTGATGCAAACCTGGAACATCGTAATATTATTGTTATACATAGTTCGAGTTCAGATATGGGCAATATCGGTACACTTTTTCTGGTACCTCTCCCACAAAATGTCATCCTTTTAAAAGAAAATAATTTACTACACAAACAGAGAAAGTATAATCCAATTTTGCTACATGTTTGCACATTCTAATAATTGCATCAGTGCTAGGTCTGCTGCGAAAGTGGGCAATATCGGTCCACTCCATCCAGTACCTCCCCCACAAATGTTCAACATTTTGAATAATAATAACTTTTATAAAATGTGCTGTAAGAATCCGATTGTCTTCAAATTACACACATCCCAATATTTTTTGTTAACCCAAGGTTTGGCTTTAAAATGGAATATATCGGTCCACTTATTCTGGTACCTCCCCCACAAAATGTCGAAATTTTCAAAAAATATATTTTCATCACAGAAAGAGGAACCATAATCCAATTTTGCTCCAACCTTGCATATCCTAATATTTCCATCAGTGATAGGTCAGCTGCGAAAGGGGGCAATATCGGTTGACTCCATCCAGTATCTC